CCAAACACTTAACCCAATTTACCACAATTGATTAACCAAGCACACAAAATCAGCAACACATCAAATAAACCACAACCAAATATGAAGAATAAAGATGCAAACGACACACGATTTTTATACGTGGAAAACCCCTTCGATGTGAAGGATAAAAACCACGGGACTTATAGGGAGTCCGCCCTCTTCTTCTCTTATTATGCAAGTTGAGGGTAAAAACACCCAAACTCAGTCTACAAGGATGTCACAGCCCACCAACAACAACATACATAAGAGCCATCAACAATAGAGAAGGAAAATCAGGATTATCACCCAAAAACGTAGCGTCGCACCAGCTGCGATTACAGAAGATCCGTAGCTCCGATTGATGTGAAAATTGAACAGATTGAAGCCCTAAGTGTTGGGAACAACCTCTGAAAATTTCAGCTCAATCCAACGGTTGGATCTCCGGCTATGATCGAATTTGTGCGGCTGGTCTGTACATTCTGCACCAGCACCTTTCCTCTCCCAATTCTGATTTTTTTTCTCTCTGCTCTGTCGTAAGTCCTCACACTGCCCAGCCCTTTTACTTCCTTCCTTTTGTTAGTCAACCAAGGAAAAAACATAGTTGGGCCCTCCACCAAAGAAAAATGGAACCCAAACAAAATGGGCTGGACCCACAACAATCTCCCCCTCCAGCCCGATTCGGGGAAGATCATACGCAAACCACATCAAGAAGACATACCTGCAAGCTTGGAACAAAACTCAATCTTGCTTCCGGGAACCACCTTTGTTAACATATCAGCACCATTCTTGTTTGTGTGAATCTTCTTCAACTTCATTAGTTGCTTTTCAATGATATCACGCAACCAATGATACCTCACATCAATATGCTTTGTACGAGCATGATACATGGTGTTTTTGCTCAAGTCTATAGCACTTTGACTATCGCAAAACACAACATACTCACCTTGCTTCAATCCCAACTCTTGAAGGAAACGCTTCAACCAAATCATCTCTTTGCCTGCTTCCACTGCTGCTATATACTCTGCCTCAGTTGTTGACAATGCTACACACTTTTGTAGCTTGGATTGCCATGAAATGGCTCCCCCTGCAAATGTAAACAAGTAACCTGAGGTAGACTTCCTGTTATCAAGATCTCCAGCCATGTCAGCATCTGTAAATCCCTCAAGAATAGACTCACCGCCTCCAAAACACAAACTCTGTTTTGAGGTGCCCCGCAAATATCTCAAGATCCACTTTACAGCTTCCCAGTGAACCTTGCCTGGATTA